TCTCTCGCTTTCTCTCTCTCTCTCAATCTCTCCCACTCCCATTCCCATTCCCAACACCATTATCATTACCATTCCCATCCCCATTCCCATTCCCATTCACATTACCATTACCATTACCTCTACCTTTATCTTTACCTTTACCTTTACCATTACCATTACCATGACCATGGCCATTACACTTGCCATTGTCATTGCCATTGCCATTCCTATTGCCATTGCCATTACCAGTGCCGTTGCCATTGCCATTGTATTGCCATTGCCAGTCGCCGACCCGTTACCGTTACCGTTACCATTACCATTACCATTCCCATTACCATTAGCCACTATCATTACCATTGCCATTACCATTAGCATTACCAACACCATTGCCATTACCATTACCATCACCATTACCATTACCGTTGCCATCACCATTACAATCCCCATTCCCATCACCATTGCCATTACCGTTGCCGTTGCCAGTACCATTTCCATTACCATTACCATTACCATTGCCATTATCATTACCACTAGCACTACCATTTCCATTCCCGTTCCCGTTCCAATTACCACTACGATTCCCATTCCCATTCCCATCCCCATCCCCATTACCATGACCATGACCATGACCATGACCATGACCATGACCATGACCATTACCATTACCATTGCCATTGCTATTGCCATTGCCATTGCCGTTGCCGTTCCCATTGCCATTGCCATTACCATTACCAGTGCCGTTGCCATTGCCATTGCCATTGCCAGTCGCTACCCCGTTACCATTGTCATAACCATTACCATTACCGTTACCGTCACCTTTACCAGTCCCAGTACCATTACCATTACCATTGTCATTGCCATTACCATTACCATTACCATTGCCATTGCCATTGTCATTCGCCACTACCACTACCATTGCCATTCGCCACTACCATTACCATTACCATTGCCATTGTCATTGCCACTCGCCACTACCATTGCCAGTACCATTACCATTCCGAGTCACATTCCCATTACCAATACCATTACCATTACCATTGCCATTGCCATTACCAGTACCATTACCATTACCTCTACCTTTACCTTTACCCGTACCATTCCGATTTCCGTTACCACTACCATTGCCATTCCCGTTCCCATTCACATTCCCAGTCCCATTCACATTCCCGTTCCCATTCACATTCACATTACCATTACCATTGCCATTGCCATAGCCATTACCATTGCCATTGCCATTGCCATTGCCATTGCCATTACCAGTACCGTTGCCATTGTTATTGTCATTGCCATTGCCAATCGCTACCCTGTTACCACTATCATTACCGATACCATTACCAGTACCATTACCATTACCTCTGCCATTACCATTACCATTCGCATTGCCATTGCCATTGCCATTAGCCACTACCATTACCATTGCCAGTACCAGTTCCATTGCCATTCCCATTCCCATGACCATTCCCAATACCATTATCATTTCCCTTACCATTACCATTACCATTACCTTTACCTCTACCTTTATCTTTACCATTACCCTTACCAATCCCATTTCCGTTACCACTACCACTACCATTTCCATTCCCGTTCCCGTTCCCATTCCCATTCACATTCCCATTCCCGTTCCCATTCCCAATACCATTGCCATTACCATTGCATTTACCATTGCTGTTGCCATTGCCATGGCCATTCTCATTGTCATTGCCATTGCCATTGCCAATCCCATTGCCATTACCCTGACCGTTGCCATTGTCATTGCCATTGCCAATCGCTACCCCGTTACCTTTACCGTTACCATTACCATGACCAGTACCATTACCATTATTTCTGTCATTGCCATTGCCATTGCCACTGCCATCCGCCACTACCATTACCATTGCCAGTACCATTTCCATTCCCAGTCCCATTCCCATTACCATTACCACTACCATTACCGCTGCCATTACCATTAGAATTGCCATTCTCATTCCCATTCCCAATACCATTACCATTTCCATTAACATTACCATTACCAGTGCCATTACCATTACCACTACCACTATCATTTCCATTCCCGTTCCCGTTCCCATTCCCACTCCCATCCCCAGTACCATTACCATTACCACTACCACTGCCATTGCCATTTTCATTACCATTACCTTTACCTCTACCGTTACCCTTACCTTGCCATGACCATTGCCATTGCCATTACCATTACCGTTGCCATTGTCATTGCCATTGTCAATCGCTACCCCGTTACCACTATCATTACCGTAACCATTACGAGTACCATTACCATTACCACTGTCATTACCATTACCATTGCCATTGCCATTGCCATTGCCATTGCCATTCGAGGATTGCAGTAGGAATCACTCAGTGGAGGGTTTCAGTAGGAATCCATATGTGCAGGATTTCAGTAGGAATCGTTCAGTGGAGGGTTTCGATACGAACCCTTCTGTCGAGGATTTCAATCCTTCTTATGGGGGCGTTCAATAGGAATCCTTCTAGGGGGGGAGGGCAGATGCGGCCACGTCGGCTCCTCGCGGCCCGATGGGCCCCGTGCCACTCGGGCTCCGACGGTGGAGGAGGGGGAGAGGTAGGAGAAGGAGGAGGAGGAGGAAGAGGAGGAGGAGGAGGAGGAGGAGGAGGAGGAGGAGGAGGAGGACGAGGAGAAGGATGAGGAGGAGGAGGAGGAGGGAGGAGAGGATTTTCATTCCCCCCCCCCCCCCGAAAAAAAAGGAAAAAAAAACGGATCCTCCGTTTTTTTTTTTTTTTTTTTTTCCTGGGGGGGGGGGGAGGGGCCAAACAACGAAAATGGTATTGTTCCTTTTGGAGGAGGAGGAGGAGGAGGAGGAGGAGGAGGAGAGAGGAGGCCGCCACAGAGCACGCATATCTCATTGAAATAGACGCGCGAACTCAGTGTGAAAGCCTCGCTTTGGCGCCTTCGACCCCGAGGGGCTCCACAATCCCTCCTCCTCCTCCTCCTCCTCCTCCTCCTCCTCCTCCTCGGTCGGTCGGTCGGTCGATGAAGGCCTCTGAGTCACGCAGCCTATCACAGTGGATTAAATAGAGAGAGGGCAGCAGGCAGAGGCAGTAAAGGGGATTAAAAAACTGGCCGCACCACAACCTAAGCTGGCAGGTCGTGTCCCTCATCTCCCTCACCCCCCCAGAGGTTCCAAACCATAAGGGTCCAGCTTGAGCTCCAGCTCAATGAGCTCAGGTGCTAGGTCACGGTGATTCGACGAGTGGATGAGAGCGGCGAATTGCTGAACCACGCAAGCAAGAGGCGTGAGAGTGGACACGAGAGGGATGGAAGCATGCACCCCAGACAATAGAATGCTACTTCCGTCACAATCCAATCTACAGCCCTCAAGCATGCTCACCTCTTTGAGTCCCCAAATGGTGGGTTGTGAAGCTTCGTTGGCCCACGGGGCATGCATAATGCCAAACGGAACTTGCGCGCCACGACAGACGTGCGTCAACCAGAGCACCGCCCTCAGAGCACGATTATCCTCCCGTACGGGAGTGAACTCGACCTCGCGGAGGGCTCTCCTTCCCCAAGGAGAGCTGGGGTCTCGCGGCAGACGAGTGTGGGCCCCCTTAGCCTGCCAGGTGCCTCTGGGGGGCTCAGCCCAACGCCCCCCTACAAAACCGTCCTGGACGAGCTGGGCCCAAAAGCGTAGCACGTGTGGCAGCGCAAGCTGTCCCCACCCTTCTTGATCCCCTAAGGTGAGGATGCTGGCCCTTTTTCCACTGTCCGCCAATTCTCGTTCAAGTGAATCAATAAAGTCACCGTTGTGCCTGTTTCCCGTGTACAAGCACAAGAAGATTGACCTTGGCTCCAACCCTTCCTTGCTTGGTCCTGAATCAATGGGGGTTTGCTTCTGCCGAGGTCTCAGGATGGGGACGCACACAGTGGGAGGGAGGCAGGGGGGGTCCATAGGCTCCAAAAGAGCCTCTCTACATAACGAGGGTCCAAAGAGCTGCACGGGGGGGAACTCCGCCCAATTGTCACTCTTACCTTTGCTGCGATTCTTCTTCTGCACCTCCCTCCCAGCATCCGTCCAAGCTTGCATCTCCTCCTCCCCAGCCTTGTACCCGGCCTGGTCCCAAGCCAGCCTGCATTTGTGGGACCTCCTTAAGTGGACCTGAAGGCGGTTCGGGGCATGCCATTGTTTCCTGCAGCATTGGCACTCCGTGCCCGCAGCCCAGCACATCGGATCCCTCATGTTTTTGTGTTGTCTTGCCATGTGCATGTTATAAGTCCTGATCTGCTCCGTGGCGAAACCACATTCGTAACACACAAACATGGCGACACTGCTCTCTGGCACTTCATTGGCAGTGGGCCGTTCATTCTGGATGAGCTGGATGTGCCTGTCAAGCTGAGTCGCTCGAAAATCTTCTTCAAAGTTGTGCTGCGCTCTGGCGGCCGCCTTGGCCACTCGTCGAAGGAAAGTGCGCGGCTCCGTCCTGGCCTCCGTGAGCCAGCACAGTAAGGACGCCTGGTGCCGCAGCTCCCCTTTGAGGCAAAGCGGAGTCATCCATCGGAGATCGTCTGCCACTTGCACCAGCCAGCCGCTGTTTTCTTGAAAGAGAAACTCAATGGCAACTCTGAGTGCTGGCGGTGCCTGACGCAGCAGCCTGGTAAGTACCTGAGGCGCGCCACCCGAAACACATCCTTGGCCTCCAGCCTGTGCACTTGTGACAAAATGTCATTGTGCGCAATGTGTCCCGCGTCAGAATTGCTGATCGACAGTCCCAGGGCGGCCCTGTAGGGCCTTATCTGTGCATTGAGAAGTTTTTTTTGGCGAGCCTTGTGCTGAGCTGACTCCAGATGGATGCATTGTAAAAAAGCCCCGTGAGAGCGAAACTCTCCGCATATCTGACTTTGAGGTCAAGTCGGAGTTTCTTCCGAGGCCCAAGGGTGCGCTGAATGGGCCGCACCTCACTGGCAACCGAGGCTGTCCTGTAGGCTATCTCATCCGACATGCCGAGACGATCGTTTACCATGGCACCCAGGGCCTTGACAGTTCGCTTCACTTGAACAGAAGCACCGAGGGAAGGTATGTACACTTCTCGGCCCTGGGGTCCCCCAAACTCCTGCTGAGCTTTTTTGGTGCCTGGTCCCACTGGAATGATAAGTGCCGCGGTCTTGCTCAGGTTGAGCCGCAATCCGCTGTTGAACGTCACTTCTGCCAAGTGTTCGGTGGCCTTCACGAGCGCAGCTCGTGTGTCAGCCGCCTGGTCGATGGCACAGAGCACAGTGAGATCATCGACGAAAGAGATGGTATCATGGGCTTGGTCTAAATCCGTTTCTTTCGCAAACCAAACGGCCCCTGGCTCCAAATCTGGCTTCCACGTGAGCCCCTCTTCATTAAGCCTGGCCTGGAGGTCCCGAATCATCGGGGAAAACACGTAGTTGAACGCATCGGTCGCTAGGACCGTCCCAGGTTTGGTCCCCAGCATGGGTTTCTTGAACCCTTTGGCGTTCTTGCACGCCCAAAATCCCGAGGATAGGGCCGCCGAAAAAAGTGCATTGAGATGCTCACTGGTGGAGTACTGCTCTAAGATAGGTGTCTGGGCAAGATGCTGCACCGCATGCAAAAGGGCAGGATGGACAGGCAAATTGCTTAGCGCGAAATCAAAATCCTCTCTCTCGGCAGGCATATTGCATAGGCTCTGCCTTATCACTGTGTAAACAGCAGCCTTTAAGTCTGCAGAAAGCGCTATGCTGCTCTTGCCTGCTCTCACGTGCATGTGCAACTTAGCCGTTATGAAGTGAGTAGCAAAATCCGTCCCCATGCCTGTTCTCCCTCCACACTGGGATGCTTCCAGTGAGATGGCCATGACCGCCTGGACCTGGGCGCGGATGTGTTCGTGGTACACTTTACTAATGGTCGAGGTTAGCAGGATGCTCCTTCTACTTGAAGCGTAAGGCCCGTCTGGGCCCTTGGGGATACCAACGACAACTCCCTGCTTGAACCCCAATGGTTCTGTGCCAAACATGTTGGCCTTAAACAGCACTGGGTGCCAGACCCTCGCAAGAGCTTTTGGCACAACCCGCTGAAGATCCCCCGTGAGATTGTCGGGCGCGGCTTTGCCTGCAGGGACCTTGGCCAGAGCCCTTTGGAGAGCACCCTTGGTGATGAGTCTCGTGACCTCTCTGGTGGTGGTGGTCGGCGGAGCTGGCGCAGCCGAGTTGTAGGCTGCAGCAATGTCGCTTGGTTGAGCGTCCAAGCCGAAATCGATCTCGCCAAAGTGGCGCTGGAGATCGTCAGCCTGCGCTTCAAGCGTGGTGAGAATGGTGCCATATGGTGCCTTTCTGAGCGGAAAAAAGGCTTGCTTCTTGGATCTTCTTCCTCCTAGCATGAGCAAGCGCTTAACTTTTGTCCACTCAGAGCGTGGGAGTTTGGCATCTATGCTTAGATTGATCCCTTCGCTCTGCTGCTCAAGTAGGGCACAACAATCATGATCTATGAGCTCGCGCAGTAATGGTTGCGTGATGTGCACGAACCCCACAATAGCCAATGTAAAATCTTCGGGCTGGGTCCGCTTATCCACGAAGGCCTGAGCCTCCGTGAGCACGACATTCCAACATTCCCTCACAGCGGTCATCGTTTGCGCCAGCGTGGCGCCGTCTCCATTGCAAGCTCTGTTGGGGTCGTCCGCGGCACCCCAAACTGGGTAGGGGTAGGCAGGGAAGGCGTCAGCCATATCACCCCTGAGCTCTCCCTCTGCCACTTTGGAAGCCAGCGCGAAGAGATGACCCACCGCCTCGAAAACTGATGTGTCCCTGACATGTTTTAGCACCTTGCGACAAGCCCGTCGGACCCAAACAAGCTGGACCGTTCTAGGTCGAATATATGGTTTTCGGACCCTCTTGGCTTCTCTGCCGAAAGTGGATTGTCCTAGCTTCCGTACAAAATCCGCAGTTCTGGTATGCTGATCGTTGAGATTGACACTCCAATCATCAAGTTGAAATCCATCCAACCCTTGAGCGAACATTGATTGGAGCTTGGGGTCCCTAAGTTTGATGGGGTCAATGGGCCGATCACCTTTAGGGGGGGCGGCCACTTGGGTATCCCAAGCAAGTTGGACCACCACAGGAAAATGGTCGTCGTGCTTACGGCACGCCTCCAAATCATAAAGCACCTTACATGACTGAGCCGTGGCCACGAGAGGTTCAGCCAGCAGGATGTAGTCAAGCCTCCCCCATTCTCTTTTCTGGGAGACGTAAGTGTGTCCTCCATCTGTGGGGGGTAAAAGAGTGTTGATGGCCGCGAGCTTGTTGGTCCTGAGGCAATTATGCATGAAACTCCCACTCGTGTCCTCTTGCTCTATTGGGCTCGCGTCGCCTACCCATTGTGATTGCACTGGACCTAGTGCTGCGTTGCCGTCAACACACACAATGTCACATGGCCAGATGTCCAGCTTCCTGTTTAGATCATCCCAAAACCCCTTTCGGTCCGGCACACAAGCCCCCCTATGTGGGGCGTGGGCCACACATATCGTTTGCTGGAAGGCTGGAGCATTGACTTTTACAATGAGGATCCTGGGCGTGGCATCAAGAGCCTGGAAATGATTCGGTTGAAACCTGAGCTCCTTGCCTCCTAGCGTGCCGTAGGGGGTGTCGAGGTCCGCCCAGAGCTCCACTCCTAGGCTATGGTCCTCGTGACCAGCTGCAGTCCTCACGTGCGAGAAACTGCGATGGCCTTTGAGTGAGCGCTCGTTCCTTCCTTCCTGTATACCAATGATGTGAAATTTCTCACGGTGGAATTGCTCACGAAGCAGATCGAGCCTGCGCATGCGCTCCTTGCCCTTGGAGCCCTTGCGGGCTTCTTCCCTCGTGGACTGTGGGTTATAAGAGCAAATGTTAACAACCACTTGTGCTTGCTTAACAGCAACGGGGCCTGGGCTCTCGGGCCCTTGATAGATGTGGCCAGCTGTGGCCGTGGTGTCTGGCAGCACTCCTTGAAGCTTCCCCCCAGCCTGATGGAAAAAAAAACAAGGGGGGTAAGCATGGCTGTCTTGGGTGCTATACTGCAGCCACTCCCATTCTCTGGATGGAGCATATTTGATGGCCCCTTATGAGGCCAATCGTCAGACCCAATAAGGGAAGAGGTTTTTTGAGGGCCACGGCTTTAGCAACGTTGTCGGCCAGGGTATTCCAAGGGTACCCAACGTGAGCCTTTTGGTGCTGAAGGTCCAGTTGGACCTGTGACCGAACCGTCTGGAACATGGCGTGAGCAACTGTGCCTAATTCCTTGTCAGACGCTGGCAGCACAGACCCTCCCAATGTGGAGAGCGCACAGAGGGAGTCGCTGATGAGGCTGACCATGCAGCCTGGGCGGGTGGTGCCTATCCATATCAGGGCCCATATGCTAGCAAGCAACTCTAAAGTCGTGCTGCTGGCTGCTTCTACTGACAGCTCCATGTCATGCGACCCATCAATGTCACCGTACAGCTGCCCCATGTCGACAAAACCCTGTTGATCATGCCCTGTGACCACCACTGCCCATGCTGCAGCCCCCCCCCCCTCCCGATACAAGGAGCCGTCTGTGTAGACATAGATGTGGTCGCAGGACGTGGAGCGGCATGGGCAGTAGGTCATCGCCATTTGGGCAGGTCCCTCCATGACACCGGTGGCGGCCATCGCTTCAACGGTGAGATGCGCCAGTCTCGGGGTTCTCTCCCTTCCCAGTACATCCCTGGGCGTGGGCAAAGCGTGCAACGGACAGTAGAGTTGATCTTGCGCACGTGGCGGGATGGTAGCCAACTGAAGCGAGCCAAAGGGGTTAGGGGAGTCCAACACCTGTCTCAGATTTGCTGGCCTCGGGTTTGCCCTGCTGAGGTCCGAGGAGTCTTGAGTGGGCACTTCGCTGCCAGCGCCCCCCCCCCCCTCGCCCTTCCCGATTATCATGCTGGCTGCTTGGCATGCTTGTTGTGCACGCCTGTGCAGCATTGCATTGAGTTGGAAAATCGGCGCGGCTCAGTTCAGACCATGCATCTGCGTCAGTGCTTAGCCTGGCGGGAGAATGGACAGCTTCAGACTGCCTAGCACAAGTACTCTTATTTCCTACTAAGCTATGGCTGTGGCTCGTGGTAGGCCTGCCAGCGTCCTCATGTGCCTGGGCCTGGTCGAGACGGCACCTGGGCACCTGCTGAAAGGTTTTTTGGGGCACATCTTCTCCTGGGGCGCTGGCTTGCGGCCCTACCTCACTAGGACGAGCTTGCCGAAACAACTCCTGGCACGAGTACTTCTGAACCCGTTTGGCTCGGACCCTGAGCGGAGTCACCTGACTTTGGATGGCAGCGGGCACATCAGGGTCATAGGTTCTGATGGTTACTCCCCCCCATCTGATATTCTTTTTCCCGTTCGATCCCGTCACGCTGTGTCCAGCGCATTGCCTTTCTCGAAGCTGACGTTCGTGAGGCACATCCTGTTGTTGACCAGGTCCTTGAGCATCATGCCTGGTCGCATCATCTGCCAACTCACTGCCATCCCTGGTGCCGTAGTAACATTTGAAATAGCCATCTCCATATATCCAATGGTCTGAAGATACAACCCCCTCCTCCAGTGGTGAAACACCGCGAGACTCCCCTGTGGGATGCTCCGAGCGATACGTCTGTTCCACCTTCGTTGGAGGGGGAGCCGTGCCATCGATGTAGTCGTAGACACTCTGCGTAGAAGAACCCATTTGCATCATGCTGGTGACGTCGCTGATGTCGTCGTTTATTTCTGTATATCCCTCATGTCCGTCCTGTTCTTGCTGTGGGGCTGGATGACCCACTGCAATGCCATCCACAGCTTGGTGGGCACGATGTGCTGCAAGCAGGTGCTGCCAGACCTGTGGGGGATCATGTACATCCTGCGCGAGTATTTGCCATGCCATCCTGCCAGTTGGTTGTCCTGGCTGCGTGCGATCTGCCGCCTGACACTCCAAGTCATCGAGTACTTGCTGAAGTTGATCTCGCTCTAGATCAACGTGCCCTGGGACTTGTGCACTCAACGCCAACTGTGATCGTGCTCTGCGTAGGCGAAGTAGTCCGTGCAGCGTCTGAGCTCGATACCTTCGTTCGTCTACGTCCGCCTCACGCCGCAGTCGCTGTACAACTTCTTTGAGGTGAGGCTGCGCCGAATGCCATGCTTCATTGCATATCTGCTGAGCCAAGGCAGCCAGATCCTCCTGCGAGTTGTGGCTGTACTCTGGGCTTTGAAGTAGATCGCTTGTGTCAGCAGGAATGCACCAATAGAGCCAATCGTTGTACGCCACATTCGCGTCCCCCATCGCTTGCTCGAAGCTCCATGCCCGTGCCGCTGTGGATAACTTGTAGCGAAGTTCTGCTCGCTGAGCTTCGACTTGTTCGCGCCGTGGCTGTTCTGGCTCAGGTGCAAAAGGGGCTGCGCAGCTGGCCTGGGCTCTGATATGCTCCTGCTGCTGGACTGTGCTCCAGGTGCTGAGGTACTCCCTCATTTCGCATCCCTGGTCAGGAGTTGCGACGCTACCTTCAATACGTCCCATTCCTTTGTAGAACTCGTCTGTGTAGCCCCGCTCCTCGTCGGCGCCCGTGGAGTAGCATTTATCGTAGTTTTGGGTGTTTTTCCCTTTGCCATCTTGCCCTTTTTGCCAGGCTTCCCAGCACATCTCCATGGCCATTTTCCTCTTGTCACCATGCGTACTAGCTGTCTGGCTGCAAATGGGGAAGACGTACATGTCGGCCATGAGGTGCGGGGCGCACCACTCTGAGTCGGAGGTACTTTCTTAGCCTGTTGACGTAGTAGCTCGAGACGGGCTGTATATGCTCGCTGCATATGCTTATGGTAGCCGCTGTCTGCATGAGCACCATGTTGTCAATGTCATCCGGGCTAAAGGCGTCACCGACTTCGGCCCTGACCTCTTCCCCAAATAGCGGTATCTCCACGTCGGGGTTTGCGCCCATTGCCGTTATTTCTGGTAGTAGTGGATTGCCCACCTCGCTTTCGGGTGGATGGTCCATTTCCAGCATCGGCGTGGGCCTGTCTCCGATTTGCAGCAAGGACGTTGTGAAACTTCTTCAGTACGTTAGGACGTCAAGCCTGGTGATGTAACCATCAACGCTTTGGCCACTGCTGATCTCAATGCTTTGCATCCCCGCTGGGCGCTGACGTGCTTGTCGTAGCTGCTGTTGTCTCTGATGTATCATATGTAGCCATTGTATTCGATCGGTGTCGAAGAGCTGGCGATACTGCCGAAGAAACTCTTGCCTGGCTTGGTGCCCTGAGTACCAAACCCTATCGCAGATGTCTTTGGTCATAATGCGTCGTTCATGATCTGTGGTCCATAGCCTTTGCAGGCTTGGATCCTGTCTTAGCATCATATCGACCAGGGGTAAACACCACATGTTCCAGTCAGCCTGGGCCTCTGGCGGTGACCAGACTGCAGCTTCCGTCGCCCAATGGTATATTTCTTCCTCAAGCTGATTTGTAAGCATCCATCTGGCCATCATAGCCTGGGCTTCCTCCACTGTAGCCCTGCATACTGCGTGCCGTACCTCGACGTGCCCATCACGTGGCTGAGGCACTTGTTGCAGTTGCTGGGAGCTGAGGTATGCCATGATGCAGTAGTCGCTGTTGGTGCTGTAGCGCGTGTCCCGCGGGTGGTATCCGTCAACGTCCTCGTAGATGTGGTGCTCCTTGTACATGAGACTGACGTGGCCTGTTGTCTCACCGTTCGTCTCGTACTCATCCTGAGCGAGCTGTTGCAGGTGAGCGCGCTTGAAAGGACCGACGACAGCTTTTTGCCATAATATGACCGTCGTGCCTTGGCGGTATACCATGCCCTGATCCTTGAGCTCTTGATATAATTGAGTAGCGACTTGATGTGGTAGTAAGTGTAGGGGGGGCCTGTCCAGATTGATGTGGCAACAGCTGCGTAGATGACCCTGCCCCCCCGCAAGTACATCCAGTTGGTGTCTCTGCAACCTGAGCGCATCGAAGCCCTGGAGGATGCACTGCTGTCACTGCTGCTGGTCGAATTCTTTCATCGCTTGTAATGCTCGCACTTCGGCTGTCCGTCTGCTGTCGCTTTCATCCCAAGCTTCATCGCAGATGGCCTTCGCCGACAGGGGCGCCCTATGTGTGTCGACGCAGCCTCCGTCATCCAAGACCGAGTCCCTGAGGCCTGGCTGACTGATGATGGCTGTGCACGCGTAAGGTGTGCCCCAGAGTAGCCAATCGGCCTTCGCAATATCCTTGCTGCTCCAAGCCTCCTCAGCTGTCCATGAAATGGCACTTGTCCTGAGTCTCCCTGCCAGCTGCTGGTCGGATGCGTCCTCAACCAAGCCACAGAGGGTCGAGGTCGCGCCTTCTGTGTCGGGGCACTGACTGTCGCCGGGCACGCGTCCTCCATGGCTGCGGCCTGAGGTTCTTCCACTGCCAGTGATTTGTGTGCAGCTGGGTTTGGATCGCCCTCTGCCAACCTCTTCTCTGCCGCTGCAGCTGCTGCATCGCCCTTGCTTGCCCCCTTGGCTGAGAAAGCCGCCGCTGTAGCTGCCCCGTGCCCCTGGAGGTGTGCCCCTGGTAGCGAGCTGATTGGAGGCCCTGTGTAAGGGAAAACTTCTTGTCCTGGGGAGCACGGTTGCGTTGGCATCAGCGCTTGTGCCTGCTGGTTGCTGATGACTGGTGTCTCTGGCATCGCCCACATCTGAGTGGGCGAGGGATACCCTTGGGAGAACAGGGGCTCCCCTTTCGGCGGCGGCGGTGGCTGCTGAGCCTGTGATGCCAGCAGCGCGGGCACCTCTGCCGCTTCTCTCGCCGCGAGCGCGGCTGCCGATGCTGCTGCCGCTGCCTCCGCCTCTGGTGTAATGAATGGTGGCGCTCCTCTCGATGGTGCACTCGCTGAGGCTTGCACCAGTATTGGGCTGGCTGTCTGTGGCTGGATCGGCGCTGCAGGCTGCACCATTGCATGCTGTCCCGCAGCGGGCTGTCCATCCGACGCTAGATTCATGGCGGCTCGCAAATTGGCGGCGTAGTGCTCCCTTTGCATGCGCTGCTCGTGCTCGTAGGCCATCTGCCTCTGCATGATGAACGCTTGCTGCGCCTGCTGCTGCGCACTCGCCTGCTGCGGCACCGTCGCCGCCGCTGCCGCCGCCGCCTGGGCCAAGGCCGCTGCTCCCATGGCGTTTGTGGGCCACGGGGTTGGATGCGGTCCCGCTGCGCTGGGCTGGAACTGCGGCCCAAGCGAGATGCCGTTGGCCTGGATGACCCTCTGGGGCTGAAAGATGGTATCCTGCATCTGCTGCTGCTGCACGTACATCTGCTGAACCTGGCCCGTGTTGTCGACTTGCATTGTGGCACCGTTGTCGCCCGTCTGCACCGCGGGCTGCAAGTCCATCATCTCCTGGTGAATGCAGTCGTCGATATCCGAGAGGGCTTCCTTTAGCTCGTCCAGCTGCTCGATCTGCTCCATCTCCTGGGTCTCCATGAGTGCCTGGCGGTCCCTGGTACCTTTGAGCGCTATCTCCACGTTTTTTATGCGCTGGACTGCCTCGTTGCGCTGCTGGCTGAGCGGCTTGAGCAGGTTGGCGCAATGCTTGAGGACCGCCATTTCTGCTTTTGTTTCCTCGTCGCTCTTACCGGCTTTCTGCGTGGCCAGGCAGATGCTGCCCAGCGCCTCGAGCTTGGTCCTGAGCTTGTCCTTGTAGGCCTTGATGCCCGTGTGGTCTGGCGGTGGCTGCCACTCCTGCCATATAGGATGAGCCACTGCCTGACTGTGCAATGCTGGCGGTATCCTGCCGATGAGCTGGTTGACCTGGCGCTCCTGGCCATAGTGCTCTTTTACAGGCGGTCGTGCCTTTGAGCGCGGCCTTGACTGCGGCCTGCCTTGCACTGTCCTGGGCTGTGATCTGCCACGCTTTCGCTGATCCCATGACTCGCCACATGCTGAGCATGACCAGGACCAGGGTGCACACTTGATGCCACACTTGCAAGTCCAGCCGCCTGCTTCCATCTGGGCGCTGCCTGAAGGGAGCCGTGATGAATGATGCTCTTGTAGCAGCTTAGCAGCCGCTGCAACTCGTAGAAGTGATCTGGCTGCTCCGCGCCGACGGCGCAGGTGCCTGTGCCAGGCTGGCTCCCGCTCGCGGCTCCGCGAGCGGCTCGATCGAGCGCGGGCTCCAGCGGCAGCCGAGCGAGGCGTGGTCTCGCTATGGCGGCCGCGCGGCCACGCTGGGGTCCCTGGCCGATGGGCTGCCCTATGTCCCGCGGGCTGCCCGAAGCCAAGACGCCTCCTCCTCCTCCTCCTCCTCCTCCTCCTCCTCCTCCTCCTCCTCCTCCTCCTCCTCCTCCTACCTCTTACCTACCTTGGCGGCCAGTTCCTCTGACAGTCTCCTCCTCCCCCTCCTCCTCCTCCTCCTCTCCTCCTCCTCCTCCTCAGTCCTCCTCCCCCTGAAATCTTGGCGTTGCAACTTTCTCACAATGTGCGTTTTCGCCCGGATTTCGGGCCCCAGGACCCTCACATATCGATCCGGCTTCAACAATTACCCAGGATGATGGGGTCCAGGTTTTGTTTGTCATTTCGAAGAGGCAGCGCCTCCTCTCTTCCTCTCCTCCTCCTCCTCCTCCTCCTCCCCCCCCGCCCCCTCCTCTTACTCTCCCTCCTCCTCCCCCTCCTCCTCCTCCTCCTCCTCAATCCTCCTTCTCAATCCCCCTCCCCTGAGACCTTGGCATAGCAGATCCATCTCAGGGGTGTTTTCGCGTGGTTTCGGGCCAGGGGACCCTCACAGATCGATCCCGCTCCAACAATTACGCAGGAGGGTAGTGTCCAGGATTCGGATGATGATTTAACAAACTATCCTCTGGTGTTGGGTCCTCGTTTTGGAAAAATGCCGCCCTGCGTCTCCTCTCCTTCCTCCTCCTCTTCCTCCCTCCTCCCATCCATGCCTCTGCCCTCCGCACCAGGTCAACCAGTTCGGCACACCCCTGACACGTTTCGTGGCCCCACAGAGAACGCCACCGAAGGCCCCAGTGGCTGCGTTCGCATGCGCCCACCGCACCCATTTCGGCACACCCGTTGCACGTTTCGCGACCCCATAGGGAGCTTTGCCGAGGGCCCCAGTTGCTGCGCTCGCATACGAATTTCGGCACACCCCTCACACGTTTCGTGGCCCCGTAAGGAATCCCACCGAAGGCTCCAATGGCGGTGTTCGCAAGCGGCCCACCGCACCTTTTTCGGCACACTACCCACACGTTTCGTGGCCCGATAGGTAACGCCACCGGAAGCCCTTGTGGCAGTGTTCGCATGCGTCCGCCCCGCCCGTTTCGGTACATCCCTGACACGCTCAATGGCCCCATGAGGAGCTCTATCGAAGGCCGCAGTAGCGGTGTTCGCATGAGTCCGCCCTACCCTTTTTGGTATACCCCTCACACATTTTTCCGTGGCCCCACGGAGGAGCTCCACCTAAGGCCACAGTGGCTGCGTTCGCATGCGCCCACCGCGCCCATTTCGGCACACCCTTCACACGTTTCGTGGGTGGCTGCGTTCGCATGCGCCCACCGCATCCATGTCGGCACATCCCTCCGCCGAAGGTCCCAATGGTTGCATTCGCATGCGCCTCCCGCGCCCAAGCTGGCACCCCCTTCGCACGTTCCGTAGCCCCAAAGGGAGCTCCGCCGAAGGCACCAATGGCTGCGTTCGCATGCGCCCACAGGAACCATGTCGGCACACCCCTCACACGTTTCGTGGCCCAACAATGAGCTCCACCTAAAGCCCCAATGGGTGCGTTCCCATGCGCCCACCGTGCTAATTTCGGCACACCGCCACAGAGGCTGCGTTCGCACGCGCCCACCGCACACATGTCGGCACACCCCTCGCACGTTTCGTGGCCCCATAGGGAGCGCCACCGAAGGCCCCAATGGTTGCGTTCGCATGCGCCCACTGCAGGCAATTCGGCACACCCCTCATACATTTCGTGGCCCCATAGGGAGCTCCGCCGAAGGCCCCAATGGATACGTTCGCATGCGCCCACTGTGCCCATGTCGGCATACCGCCCCAGTGGCTGCGTTCGCATGCGCCCACCGAGACGCATGTCGGCACACCCCTCACACGTTTCGTGGCCCTATAGGCAGCTCCATCGAAGACTCCAGTGGCTGCGTTCGTATGCGCCACGGCATCCATTCCGGCGCATCCCTCACATATTGCGCGGCCCTGCAGGGAGCTCCACGGAAGGCTCCAGTGGTTGCGGGCCCCAGGGGCCACGCTCGTATGGCGGCACCGCGCCCATGTCGGCATACTGGTCACACGTTTGAGGAGAGAGGAGGGAGGAGGGAGGGAGGAGGGAGGGAGGGAGGGATTACGCTTTAAGGATTACGCAGTGTGGCCGTCCACGCGGCACAACTCGCAGCTCGGCATCGCAGCACCAAGGGGAAAGTCGAAACCAACACCAAGACCCTGGTGCCGAGAGAGCCGTCTTCGAATTCATCCAGCGTGCTCCGGAAACGCTCTGCCGGAGCACGCTGGCACAAGTGGCTCGGCAACACGCCGGCGTTAAAACTGTTAAACAGATTCCAGGCATTCCGGGGGTTCAAGAGGTCGCGGAATCGGCTTCAATTATCAGGCGCATCTCACGCCAAATCTGGCGGGCACGGATCGTCCTCGTCCGCGCCGCCGAAACGCCACTCTGCTGCCTCGTCCTCTGGGTCGAGGGGCCTTGCCACAGGCTGAGAGGAGTCGCCAGGAATCACCGTGGGAGCACGGTCCTGAGCTCTCGACGCAGCCGCAGCCGATGGGGCAGGTCCTCGGGCCCCAGGGTCCCCCGCCACAGTCGCTTTGGCCACCTCTTCAGCGCAAACGCGCGCATGCAACGCCTCGATGACCGATTTAGGAGGGCCCTCGCGGCGTGGGTACTGGTCTCGCCTGATGCGAGCTAAATTCAGGAGGAGGAGGAGGAGGAGGAGGAGGAGGAGGAGGAGGAGGAGGATGGAGGTCTAGCGAAACCAATCTTGTCCAACGAACCATTTTGGTAGCCTCCGACAGCATGCCGCCACGCTCCGTGAGGGGACCCTTGGCAAACTCCCGTCGGGACGCCTCGCGAGCCGGCCTCTTACGCCGCCGTTTCCCATTTTTGCTGATGTGAACGTCAGGCAACAAGCGCATGTTTTTCCCAACCATCCTGGGGTGTTGGGTCCGCGTTTTGAAGAGACAGCGCCCTGCGTTCCTTCCTTCCTTCCTTCTTTCCTTCCTTCCTCTCCTCCTCCTCCTCCTCCTTCTCCTCCTCCTCCGCCTACTACCGTTCCTCCCTCCGCCCTCCAACCTCATCCTCATCATTATCATCACCATCCCCATCCCCCTCCCCCTCCCCCTCCCCATCAGCATTACAATCATCACAATCATCATCTTCATCATCACCATCATCATTACCATCATCATCATCATCATCATCATCATCATCATCATCATCATCATCATCATCATCATCATCATCATCATCATCATCACCATCATCATCCCATGCGTCCGTGCCATCCATTTCGGCACACCCCTCACATGGTTCGTGGCCCAATAGGGAGCTCCACCGAAGGCCCCAGTGGCACAGTTTACATGCGTCCCCGCCACCCATTTTCGGCACACCCCTCGCACGGTTCGTGGCCCCATAGGGAGCTCCACCGAAAGCCTCAATGGCGCAGTTTACATGCGTCCCCGCCACCCCTGTCGGCATACCCCTCACACGGTTCGTGGCCCCATAGGAAGCTCCGCCGAAGGCCCCAGTGCCGCAATTTACATGCGTCCCCGACACCCGTGTCAGCACACCCGTCACACGGTTCGTGGCCCCATAGGGAGCTCCACCGAAGGCCCCAGTGGCACAGTTTACGTGCGTCCCCACCACTCATGTCGGCACACCTCTCACACGGTTCGTGGCCCCATAGGGAGCTCCACCCAAAACTCCAATGTCGACGTTCCCGTGCGTACCCGCCACCCATGTCGGCACACCCCTCACACGGTTCCGGGCCCCATAGGGAGCGATGTTTCCATGCGTCCTCGCCACCCATGTCAGCACACCCCTCACACGGTTCGTGGCTCAATAGGGAGCTCCACCGAAGGCCCCAGTGGCACAGTTTACATGCGTCCCCGCCGCCTATTTCCAGCACGCCCTTGACACGGTTCGTGGCCCCATAGGGAGCTCCACCCAAAACTCCAGGGGCGACGTCCCCATGCGTCCGCGCCGCTAGTTTTGGCACACCCCTCACACGGTTCCGGGCCCCATAGGGAGCGATGTTTCCATGCGTCCTCGCCACCCATGTCAGCACACCCCTCACACGGTTCGTGGCTCAATAGGGAGCTCCACCGAAGGCCCCAGTGGCACAGTTTACATGCGTCCCCGCCGCCTATTTCCAGCACGCCCTTGACACGGTTCGTGGCCCCATAGAGAGCTCCATCCAAAGCTCCAGTGGCGACATCCCCATGCGTCCGCGCCGCCAGTTTTGGCACACCCGTCACTCGGGTCGTGGCCCCATAGGGAGCTCCACCGAAAACCCCAGTGGCGACGTTCACATGCGTCCCCGCCACCCATGTCGGCGCACCCGTCACACGGTTCGTGGCCCCATAATGAGCTCCACCGAAGGCTCCACTGGCGACATCCCCATGCGTCCCCGCCGACCATTTCCAGCACACACCGTTCACGTTTCGTGGCACCATAGAGAGCGCCACCGAAAACAATCCATACTTGCAGCACTTACATCTGCGATTGGTTGGGTCCTTCGCCAATGTTTGTTCGTGTGGTTTGTGTGTTTAATTTTAGGTCTCTCTCTCTCTCTATCTCTCTTCGTTTTTGATTTTTAAATGGGTAGCCAGTTTTATGACGTCATGCTTCCTTGTGTTTTTATTGATATTTTTTCAACGCGATGTTTCTTGCGCCTCCTCAGAGGAGCTGGGCCTGCGGGCCGCTCTGGCCACCATGTCGCCGCCGTCGCCGCCCCGTCGCCGCCTCGTCATACTTAGATTT